ACTCCCTTTATATTGCCCGGGGGAGAAAAGGCGGCAGAAAGAAAAGGGAGAGGCGAGGGGCTGGTTCTTCCCTAGACCCCTAGCAGAGAGCAGTGGCCTCCGCCCCCCAGAGGACTGGTGGGGGGGTCTTCGAAGCTATCCAGGCTGGCAGTGGTGCTTTCTGTTGCGGGCCTGAGAAAGCACGCCCTCCCCAGCTGCCTGGAGCCTTGCGCTCTCAGGACTGGGCCAGGTCCGAGGTGTGCCCCCTGCAGACGCTTCCCTGGCTCCGAGCCGTGAGCTGCCGTCTTGCTCCCTTGCAGAAAGCGCTGCCATGCTGCTCCACTGCCTGCTGTTGCTGCTGACCTGGCTGGGCCCAGCCTCTGCTGCCCGCCACACCCCTGCCTGTAAAATGAGAATCACATCCAAGGGCTTGGAGCTGGGTAAGCAGCAGGGGAGGGGCCAGCAAGCGAGAGGGGCTGGGGCAGAGGGACTCCAGACTTTGGGGAGGCCTCCCCCTGGCTTCCAGCTGACGGACCACCGTTTCCCGGCTGGATTGGCCCCCCTGCCCACTTCACTGTGCGGACGGAACGGTGGCCTGCCTGTCACCTCCCTGTGGCCTGGCGGATAGTCTGGGCCTGGGGCTCCTTGCAGCCAGGGGAGCTGGGGGTGATGCCCCTGGGGGTCTTTTGCAGTGAAGCAGGAGGGGCTGCGCTTCGTGGAGCAGGAGCTGGAGAACATCTCCATCCCTGACCTGCATGGCAAAGAGGGCCAGTTCCACTACAACATCAGCAAGTGAGTTGGCTGGTTGGCTGCTTGCGGGCCCAGGACCCCGGCTCCTCCTGAGCGCCCTACCTCCCTCGCCCGCCTGGGGTGGAACACCCCAGAGTCTGATCCCTGCTGGTTGAGTGCAGCTGAGTTCATCCAATGAGTGTGCAAGCCAGGTGTAACGGTCTGTGGGAGTGACCTTGGGAGATGGTGGGAAGAGCCGCAGCCAGGGGAACCATCAGATAAGACGCAGCTGAGCCCGCAGAAGGAACGGGGGCCTGGCAAACATCTCAGAAGGGACCCTCCCTAGTTTTTTGGGCTGCAAAGGCGACGGGAGAGACATGTACATTCAGACTTGCAAGATTCTGTTAATGTCACCTTACAATAAAGTAGAATTAGTCCATCTGGGCATGCTTCCTATCTGGTCTACCTTGTAAGACTCACATTGATCTTGCAAGTCTCATGCTCTCTTCCAAAGAGAGGCAGAAGATCCTCCTAGGAATTTTAGGGATGGCCTCTGATCCCCAAGGGACTCCTCCGTCCACCGAGCACCTCGCAACACCAGCAGCGGGTAGATGTACAAGTGAACACAGTTTGCAGAACGCCATGACACAGCTAAGACAACAGCTGGGACGGAATTTGCCTTGGCCTGCAGCAGCACAGTGGCACGCAGCTCTTCTCCCTGCCTCCCAAGGTCACTCCCACAGAACCCTAACCCTAACTCACACCGGACGAAGTGAAGCAGTAGCAGACGCCCTCACACGGTATGCTAAGCATTTCTGTGACTTAGCTGGCTGTGGGGAGCTGGCCCATTTGGGCTAAGGCAGTATGGGAACCAAGACCATCGCTTCTTTCAGTAACCAGCTTAAGTGTGTTATGTCAATGCAGCCAAAAAATACTGTCATCATATGAGTGTGTGTGTATGTGGGGGGGGGTGGTATTTGGAATTGCCTATCCTCCCTCCTAGAATACAGGGACCTCCTCCAGGAATTTACCAGGGACTGACCAAAACTGGATTGATTGCACAAGCTCTTCAAACAGGGCAGAGAAGTGCAATAAAGTTTACCCATCATGCCTCTGTGACAGCTTATGCAAGAAAAATGAAAAGATCAGCCTGACACTGCTTGAAGGCTGGGCTGGGCTGGGCTGGGCTGGAGGCAGATCCAGGGTTATAACAAGGAAGCTGATGTCTATGTAAGTAGCAGGTGAGGAAAGGCTTCCAGGGTCTTCCAATCCTGGGTTTGAACCCCCAGAATTCCCACATTCATTTCCTTTCTACTTTACTCCTATCCCTTTTGTGTCCACACCACATCCTTAACTTGGTGCTGTTTGTGCAATGCCTTGAGCCACATAGGCTGAGGCAGGGCAGGGGATGGTATCAAAGTGGGTTGATGGCAGGCACAGGCAGGGAGGAGCCATATGCAGGAGGAAAAAAGTGGGGTGGGGGCAGTGGCCTGGCCTGTGGGACCCCCCACTCTGGCCATCTCTCTCTGCAGCGTAAAGGTGACTCACCTGCAGCTGAACTTTTCTGAGCTCCACTTCCAACCCGAGCAGCACCTGGCCTTCAGAATCAACAATGGCTCCATCAGCATGCGCTTCCGGCGCCAGCTCCTTTACTGGTTTTTGTGAGTGGCTTATGCCCCCCCCCCCCCACTTACTCAACTGCTTGCTGCCCAGCTATGATGTTGGCTCCATCAAGACGTCGGCTGAAGGGGTCAACATCCACACCCTGCTGAGGCTCTCCAGGGACAAGGGAGGACGTCTCAAGATCGCCAACATGAGCTGCAACGCTTCCATTGCCCGAATGCATGCAGGATTCAGCGGCACGCTTCGGTAACTCCAGGCAGCAGCTG